ATAACAATACTGCATTATGTTTGAGAGGTCTCATGGCATGGAATGGATTACGATTTTGATATAGGCTCAATCAGTCAGTCGGTCCCTGAGTAGATGTTTGTTTTCTGCTTACTCAATGTGAGGCTCTGTGCCAGACAGGGACAAGGCTGACAGGTCCTCCCTTACAGACCTCAATACAGTGGATGAGCCAGGTCTACCAACAATCCATCATGTGAGAGCTGAGGGGGCTGAGAGCAGAGCAGAGCAGAGACCATGGTGTTGGAGGAGAGGGGAGGGATATGAAAAGGACAAGGGGGGCTGGAATTAAACAGAATTTCTTCATCAGATCCATCAGCTCTGTCCTAACTGTCATTTTTCCATCTTACTGTCTACATGATAAATAATCCATCGCATAATTTTTGAAGGAACTTTAGTAACATTTTATGGAAGTACAGAACATACAAAACTATAGTGCATTCATCCACACTGGAGTGATAATTTCTTATAATATTAGAAGCGGTTTTAAGCCTTAAGAAAACACTTCTTTTATATTCTATGTAGATCAGTGGCATAGATGCAGTAGCTGGCTTGCTTCTGCAACAGAATATTTTTCATCCAATTAAACTCTACTTAAAAGTAAAACACAGGTTTCCTCACTCTCTGAACTCTCACTATCCAATATTTGCTACAATGATCTTTTGATGGATAACAAATTCATTACCCATGTGGTTTGCTGCTATTGTATCTCAGATATTCTCCTGATAGGAGAGGGTCTTGAGTTCATGTTGTTTAAACATGTGTTTTTGGTTTTTGTTTTTTAAAGATTTTATTTATTTGACAGAGAGAGACACAGCGAGAGAGGGAACACAAGCAGGGGCAGTGGGAGAGGGAGAAGCAGGCTTCCCGCCGAGCAGGGAGCCCGATGCGGGGCTCGATCCCAGGACCCTGGGACCACGACCCGAGCCGAAGACAGACGCTTAACAACTAAGCCACCCAGGTGCCCCTCATGTTGTTTAAACATGTTATGTTTTATAAATATCCTTTTCCCCAGATTATTCAGTAAAAGGTCTTCTAATAAAGTAGAGAAACTAATGAAGGAAATGGTCACGTTTAAAAAGCCTAAATAAGCACATGCACTACAAGAAAAACCAGGAATCTGATAATGCACATCGAGAGAGTTGAATGTGCTTGGCCTTAAGCTTAGCCATGCACTCGTCCTGTCCCCAACACCTACAAACTACAAATACAATGCTGAATATTCACAAGAAATTGGAGACTCCGGAAAAAAAAATAAAGTTTCGCTGGTGCAAGTGAGTGTGATCCTGGCATGAGCAGACTTGTCACATTCACACAATTACAAATGCAGTCTCATGTTAGCGAGAATTGTAGGACACCAAGCCCATGGAATGCAAACAGACTGCCATGGGGAGGGAGCTCTGCTTTCCATCCCATTGCCCTGTGTGTAGCTTCAGACCATGGTTCACAGCCAAACACCTCTGAACTCTCCTGCCAGGAAGGGAAGATTCTCCCCCCATTGCTTAGATCCAGACACAGATGAACATCAGACATTTCCTGTTTAACTCATTTCTTCACCAGCTCTTTCTTCCTTACCACCCCCCACCACCAAATAGCAACAGTGACCACAGCCTCCAGCTCCCTCCTCTCACCACCAGACCTCACACAAGCATGTCTTTAATCATAAGAAACCTCTTGAGAAGTTATCTTGTTTATTTTATTTTGCTAAGTATTATTGGCATGTGGTGCACATCTTTAATATATTATTTTGCTATTTATTTACATGTACATATACACTGTGATGCAGAAGAAAATGTAATCCACGCTCGATACTCTACACTGCACAGTGTCAAGTATTATGGTTTTCTACATACAGACATACCCACCAATGAGTTTATCAAGTATTAAATAACTAGATAGTATCACAAACAATTTCTGTTTTGCAGAAATCCTTGGTGGATTGTTAAATAGTGTAAGAAGGGGTTTTAGTGATATCTGGTCAACTGGCATTTTCCTGTGGGTTAGGAATGCATTTTTATGTTTCTCTCTCAAGAATCATGGAACACTGCGTCCATTCTCTGAAACTTGGTTAACAAATGTTAAGAAACAGATTATATTCACAAAAAGGGGGACACCTAATAGTTTGCCACAATGCCTACTTGCTCTTCTACCACTTAAAAGTATTTCAAGAAAAAAAAGTAATCACGTACTACTTTTAAATGCATTGTCTTAAATTGAAAGTGCTTTTTTAAAAAAATAAAAAGCCAGTCATTTGTATTTATATTTACCTGGAGAAGTAAGATTTTTATTAGCTGGGCAAAGGAATTCAGCCTAGTAGACTGCTCTTCTGGATTCAACTGTCTGTTTTTTCATTTTAAAGGGAAAATATTTGTAGATATTATTTCTCTCGTTTCAGTTTTGTTTAGTGAAAGTGTGCCCTAGGTCTCCATCATTTACTTCAGCATTAGCCTCTCACCTGCACTCAGGAGATACATGTTCCTCATCATCTGAGTCTTGTATCAGCAGAACCTCTTCCCCAGGTTTCTTTACAGTGAAAAGTTCCTGCAGAAAAACTGGCATTTTAGATACTTAAAATGTACTTATATAGTAAAAATACCCAACACATTTATATAGCATGTAGTAAATTTGGAAGCAATCTCATATCCAATATCACAGCTAATCTGCAGAGCAATGTGAGAAAGGCACTTGATTTTACAGATGTGAACAGTGAGGATTATAGATATGTAATGATCTGGCCCAAGATGCACAGCTAGTAGATTCAAGATCAAAGTAGATCCATCTCACAGTTGTACTCTGAGTTCCCTGCTCTGTCCACTGTGCTCCAGTCACACTGTGAAAAAAAAAAAAAATCTTCCTTCAAAAAGCCCTCTGTTAGGACAGTAGGGGCGCCTGGGTAGCTCAGTCGTTAAGCGTCCGTCTTTGGCTCAGGTCATGATCCCAGGGTCCTGGGATCGAGCCCCGCATCGGGCTCCCTGCTCAGCGGGGAGTCTGCTTCTCCCCCTCCCTCTGCCTGCTGCGCCCCCTGCTTGTGCTCTTTCTCTCTCTGTCAGATAAGTAAATAAAATCTTTTTAAAAAAAGCCCTCTGTTCTCACAAGATTTGTTCTCCAAAATGACCACTAATATGGAACAAGTATCTTAGAAACCCAGAGGAAAACTGCAATAGATCACAAATAGGGATCCTTGTGCCATGAGGGGGATAAGGGGGAGAGAAGGGTGCCAAATGAGATTTTTTTTTTCTCGGAGGAGGGAGTAGATTTGGGGGGACCCCCAAAATGGGATGTCTGCCTTCTCGTGGCAAATATGAGAGCTCAAATCCCAGAGAGCTGCCAGAGAGGCATAATGATTGGGGCAATCAGACCAAGCAATTTCCTTCAATTGCTTTTCTCTCTGCCACTTTTCTCACGGTCTTAAATCTGGAAAAATGATGACGTACATCACTGCTCTACAACTGAATGTAAAGGGGTCCTTCACAGTTTCCGAAATGTAGTCAGTTAAAGTCGGCATTCTAAACCAGAGAGGAAAAGTAAAGCAGGTCTTTTGCCCTCTCTGGATCCTAATGATCACAATAATAATGATAATGATGATTGTTTACTCTTCCTCTCTGCCGCCTCTTTCCCAAGTGCTTACCATGCATGAGGTGCCATCTTATTCACTGTTCACAACAACCCTAAAAGGAGGTTCTAGTCTCAGCATTTATACAAAAAGAAACTGAAGCTCCAAGACATAAGTGACTTGGATGAGGTCCTGCAACTGGTCTGGATCCAGAGGCCTTTCTCGCAAGGCAGTTGGATGTGTTGTATGTCACAATTTATCATAATGTTAACATGGCTCTTGATTTGCCCCCCCCCAACTCCCACATTGCCCAATCCATAGTGTCCCTGCCTGGCTCAAGTCAGTTAGTGGCACTTCCATTCACTGAGCTACTCAGGCCTAAAAGCTAGGAGTCGTTTTTCTCTCTTCTCCCACCCACTTTCATCACATCAGCAAGGACTTTGTACCCCGTCTTCCCAGTGATAACCCAAATTGCTGTACCTCTATCTCCATCACTCTAGTCCTAGCCAGGGCTCCATCAGCCCTGCTAGCACCCCTCTTGCCTCCACTCTTTTCCCCCCAGATTCCATTTCCCACCCAGCAGCCAGCCTAATCTTTTAAAAACAACAATGAAATCAGATCATGTCATCCTGCTTTCCACTCCACTTGAGTAAAACTCAAACTCATGATCATGGTTCGCAAAGTACTCCAGAACCTGGCCTGTCTACCTCTTATTTTCTACTACTCCTTCCCTCTTTCCCCTTCTTCTAGTCACATAACGGTATTTGTTCCTTGGAACTCTCCAAGCTCATTACTACCTCAGGACTTTTACAGCTGCTGAGCCCTCTAGCGAGATTGCCTTCCTTTTTTGCTGGGTTGACATCATTGCGGGTCTCGGTTCAAAAGAGAGGTCAGCAGAGAAAGACCTTCCGTGACCACTCTGTCTGAACTTCCTATTCCCACCAGTCATTAGTATATGATTGTTTTATCATCCCCGTGGCACTTTTCAATATTGTCTATGGTTTATTTCCCCTAATATTACTCCAGAACCTAGCAGAGCACCTGGCACATCACAGGTGCTTACTTAGTATGTTACTTAGTGAATAAATTCATTGAACTTGAATCTACCCAATGAATTCTAAAGTCTGATTTTTCTTTTTAGAGATAGAACCTGGGAGTGCTATATTAGTAGAACACTAGGTGAACAGTGGTGGTAGGCATTGGGGAGAGCTGCCTCAAAACTCACCTCGTGACAGAAACCTTCCTTTATCCACCTCCCCAAATGGTCACTTCTCTTAATATATCCCACCCCCAGCCCCCGTACACCTCTTTCATATCACAACAAAACCACTTGTAAATAACTGTACATCTCTTTTGGGTGTGTTGAACTCTCCACTGACATGCTCACCTTCTGAAGCACAGGGGCTGATCTTTCCTCATTCACACATCTTGCTTAGCACAACCCCTTGCACACATTGGGCTCCTCAGCAATGCTGTCCAGTAGCTGAGGGACCAAAGGGCACATGGCCTTTCAAAGGAAGCCCACAATGCCACAGTAGGGAAGGCGCACACACAACATACTCACCTGTAGGGTCTGAGCCCTGAGGAGACAAATGGACCCCACCAGATAAAACCGATCCTCCAGAGGAAGGTATGTAGGAGACGATTCAGCAGAGGAGTGGCTTGGGAAGAAGCTGCTGAAGAGCACCAAAGGCTCTAAGGGAGACAGAGACACACATGTGACAGTCAAATAGAAAAGCAGGCCGGCTATACAAGATGAACATCTGCCACGTCAGTGGGCTGTTAGTCCACTGACAATTTTCAGAATTCTGAGCCACAGATTTTTACTGCCATCCTTCTGTACCAGCTACCCTCCTCACCCAGGTCTCCACCAAAATGTGAAGAAGTCATTACTGAGAAATAACTGTTGTGACTTCAGGGTGATATTCAGCCTTGTGTTCTTACTCTGTGGATGGATGTTGTAGTCTCTAAAAGCTAAAGTTAGCTCTTCTCTTTTATGTAGCCCACACGGGTATTAAATACGTGTGTAATTTGTGTGTGTACATAGTCAAGTAAGTTTTTCAAAAGTATCTGACCCTTAATCTCCAAGACACATGACAAACATATCAGACAACCATTGTGTGAGCTAATTTTCATTGTTTATTTACTCACTCACTTACTCATTCACTCGCTATATTTTTAGACCTCAGTGGCAAAGAACTGAGTTAATTACACTTAGTCCATGGCATATAATGAACATAGATAAAGTCCTCATTCTTGTTTTTCTTTCTGCCTCTTCTCCACCCACAGACACCCTTTGCCATCTACCACCTTTAATATATAAACTTGTAAAACATGTAGTCTGGTTTTATGTCTATGTGTTTACCATTTACTAAGGTGGCATTGCGGTATAGATCTCATTCTGTTTCTTATGTTTTACAGTCAACAATATGGTTTTAAGATTTAACCATATTGTAGTATGTATACCTAGAGGTCACTGCTTTCAAAGTTTTCCATATTGTGTATTTCCCACATTTTACTTGTCCATTTCCCTAACGATGCATACCTAGGCTGTCTCCAACTCCCTCCTACCACAAACAACACTATGACGTACATAGTACATGTCCCCTTAGACACAGATCTCTCTGTAAGTTCACCTCTGGTATATTTTCACCCAGTGATGGGATTGCTGAGTCACAGGATAATTAACATAATTTAAGTTCACTCTGTGTTTCAGGAATGTTTCATGAGTTTACATTCCTCTCAACACTGTATTAGTTCTCACCCCCTCACCAATATTTGCTTATTATTCACACTGCCTGATTGCTGTCATTCTGATGGGTGTACAGTGCTATCTCACTGGTTTTTAAATTTTTCATTCTTTGCTTACTAGTGAGTTTAAGCATCTTTTTACATATTTGTTGGGCCATTTACCTCTGGTTCAAGCCCTAGATGTTTTAATGGCCCCAAATCAGTGTTCATGTCATTTCTCAGCCTATAGTTCCTGAAACCTTAAAATTTGTAAATTTGGACCCTGTATCCACACAACACAGATTTGGGTTTTGATTTCTTGTAAATCACACATTTTTTTCCATTCAAATTCTGAGGGAGATGGCAAACTTATTCTTCCCCTAGGCCAGGGGACAGAATTTTACCGATCATTTGAAGTCTCTAGGTTTTATGTGTTGGTCCTTGAATGACTATTAGAACTCCAGATCCCAGCCAATGGAGCCCACATATGATTTGTAACCCACCTAGGACACCACCTAGGCCTCCTGTTACCATGAGAGTCTTGTACTTAATCCTTTAATCTCTGGCACCCATGGACGTCCCTTTTCTTTAAGCTTGGCTATGCATCAAACTGCTTTTGTTATGTTTTAAGAATCGCTTCCTGGTTTTTATAGAAGGAAAGAGTCATTCTTATTAGCTCAATCCACCATGTTACCATGTGACCCTACCTTGCAAATTTCACTATGTTTTAAACTGAATATTTAATATACTTTTTAAGAATAGAAGGAATGCAATAAGGATTAGAATTTTATAACATATGTTAGGTATTCCTGTAAAAAGGATTCCATTTGTCAAAGGAGTTTCCCCTATTTCCCTCTCTTTTCTACCTTCCTCAGAGCGATAAACAGTAATTACAACTTGCATAAGTAAGCTGCTCCATTGTGCTGGACAGTAATTATATCTTTATGTTTCAAGTGCTCATCATGTCCAAAAATCCCCTTTCCTTGCCCTGCACAGTCTCACTGCTGTTTCACAGTCTCACTGCACTCTGCTCAAATTCAAAGAGCCTGAACAAAAAAGCTAGAGGCCCAAGGATTTTGGGGTACCGATTTAGTAGCAGTGTCTACTGGCACAAACCTTCTATTTATTCATAACTGCAATAGCAGAAATGAAAGCTATTTTAATGAACAAGGAACTGAGGAATGAGATCATTAAATATAACTAAACATATTTTAAATATAATATCATGTATTTTCCAATTAGTGTCAGGTAAGTCTAAGCTATCTATCCCGAATTCTTGTCTCAGAGAAAAAGATCAGAGACAATTACAAGCAAGGTGCTTCATATTATCAGGTCCATTTTTAAAACAATGAGATCCTTTGGAACAATCACTTTACTCTTTCTTTTTATCAGAGATTTCCTTTGGTCCTTTTGTTGGTAATCCATTAATGTCTGCACCCTTATTGTCTACTCTACCTTTTTTTTTTATCATGGCATTCTTTTTTAAAAGTCTGATTAATGTCTATAACCAAAACCTGTGCTCATAGGGATATCAGAGAATGTGAGAGAACCAACAGTGGAAGGGCGTTTATGTTAGCAATGAAGGGCTAGGTAATGCATTAACTTCGTCTAGATCAGATTAAAAGCTTAACTGCTTACCACTTGAAATATCTTTGACTGTCAGGATGAATTTCACATATTCATAAGTATGTCTGTTATCATATTCAACATTTCCTCTCTTTAGATGACAGCAAAAATCAATATGTTTTCCCACTAAGAAAAAAAAACCAGATACAAAACAAGTTTACAATTGTACGTTACCATATTCTGCAGGATTATGTCATAGGACTATTGTCTTACTTATAACAGATTTTACAAAAATATTATTTTCTTTCCAGGAACATTAGCACTTGCATACTGTCTATGGTGTATCTGTAGAGTGGAGTACAAGCTAGAACATTATTTATATAACACTAATGCAATTATACAAAAGCTGAAATTATCAGGGTTCATGATAAAGAACAAGATTTAATGGAGGAGAAATTTTTTAATACTGGAAATATAATTTGTGAAATTATATTAATATATAATCAGCCGCTATACTGGCCCTAATGTTTTTATTTTTATTATTCCTCCAAGTGACTGTTACTTGTCTCTTAAAATCTAAGAATTTACAATTGAGAAGAAACAATCTGTACCTGAGTTTGACAAAGGAAGTTTGAGAGCGATCTTTCCAAAGACTTCGTTTCTCTCATGATCAGGCAGAAGACTTAATAACTTTTTACCCACGATATCATTCTTGAGAAAGAGAGAAAATACATTTTGTTATACATGCTACTACTACCGCTCACTTCCTCCACCTCCTTACCTCCGGTCAGCTTCTCGTCGGCTCCCTCTCACCATCTCTTGGTCCTACTTATTATACTTCTACAAGTCCCGGTTCACATTATCCCACTCTATGCCCATTACCTCCTACCTTTCCAGTGCACTCATACAAGTACCCCACCTCCCCAAAAACTATTCCACACACTGAGACCTCCAGTCCATTCCCATGACGTTTTCACTGGGCATTATCTCCTGCAAATTGTCACATCCCTCCTTACCCAGCTCAGATTCCTTGGTGGATCATTATAATCACTGCCATGTTCTCTTTCTCTCTGACACATCTGCCTGGGAAAATCCCAACTCTGGTTCATTTCAACTCTTCATCTACCTTATACCTTCACCCAAGCAACTGCATGTCTATGGCGAAAAACCCACAACCATATATTATTTTAAATGGGCACTCAGATCTGTCTGGAAATCGTCTACCCTTCAGTGTGATCATGACTTGCCTTTTCCTCCTTCAAACCTCCAACCCTCCTTCATCCTCCTCATATTCAGCTGGGGATCTCATTTCTTATTGCAATTAAAAGGAAAAAGTAAAAGAAACATCAGTATCTTCCTGCCATCAAAGGTACCAACCTATCTGTTTCTGTGGTTAGAAACCTACTTTTTCTCCTATTCCAATGAATAAGCTTCCAACGAAGACTAGTGCACTGCCTCTCATCCTCTCTCAACTAGTCAAGGACATCATTCCGGAAATTTCCCTGTTCCCCACAGTGTCAAGCTTTCCCTCTCTACCGGGTCTTTCCCAGAGCATGCAAATGCTTTATCAGAGATGCTATAATATCAGTCATTTTAAAAACAAAAACAACACAAAATTCCCCAAATCCAAAACCTTCTTTGACCCTACACTCTCTCCCCCAGCTCTTCTCTGGTCTACTTCAGAACAAAAATCTTTGAAAGGGACTATACTTGCTGCCTCTCATTTCTTCAGCTCTCACTCTCCCTTGAAACCACGCTAATCAGATTTTTACCCTAACCACCCCACTTTTGTCAAGGGCACCAGTGACCTCCACATTGCCAAACCCAATGGTCAGTTCTCATCTTACCTGACATCGCAGCAGTCGATAGAATGAATCCCTCCTTCTTCTTGAAACATTTTGTTTACTTGGCTTCCAGGATGCCATACAAATATGGGTATCTTTCTGCTTCAAAGGCTACACCTTCACAGTTTTCTTTGCTGGAGCTTTCTCCCCTCTCTGACTACTTGGCATCGGAGTGGCTAGGGCCTAGTAATTAGACTGCTTTTACTGTACTGCCTCCCTGGGTGGTCTCTTCCAGCTCTGGCTTATTAAATACCATCTATCTTCCCACCTCTGGTCCAGACTTCTCTCTGAACTCTTCTAGATAACATAGATGTCTAGTAGGATTTCAATTTTAAGATATTCAAAACACCGTACCTGGATCTTTTCCCTCACAAAACATGCTCCTCCCTCAGTCTTCTGCATTTCAGTAAAAGGCACCACCATTTACCCACATGCTTGTCCTTGACTTGTCTTTTTCCTCTTAAACCCCAAACCCAGTCCATCAGCAAACTCTGTTAGTAATACAGTCAAAATACAGGCAGAATCGGTCCACTTTTCACCACATGGGCTAAGCCATTATCTCTAGATTGGATTACTACAAACAGACTTAACTGGTCTCCCTGCATCTATTTTTGCCACACCCCATCTCCCACTCCATTCTTCACAAAGCAGTTACAGTGTTTCATTTAAAACATAAGTCAGGTCAAGTTATTCCTCTACCTAACATTTTCTACCAGCTACCCAAGTTATTCAAAGCAAAAGCCAAAGTACTTGTTCATTTCCAAAAACAACAAGCAAATACTCACCTTGGGGCCCTTACACTTGCTCTTCATTCAGTGTGAAACATTGTTTCCCAGATATTTATAATGACGCTTTCCTTTATTCATTCAACTCTCTACTCAAAAGTTTTTTAAACAGCACCAGTTTCCTGACATTATCTTCCTGCTTTTTTTCATAGCACACTCATCACTACCTGACATTATAGTATATGTTTACCTGTTGATTATCTGTCTCCCTCAGTAAAATGTAAATTGCATTAGAACAGAGACCTTGGCTGTCTTATTCACTGTTACATCCTCAACACCTAGAGCACAGCTTGGCACAAGTGAGCACTCAATAAATGTTGGTTAAATGAATGAATAATGCTGTACCATGTAGCTGAAATAAGGTGACACAAGGATAAATTGAATATAAGGCATTAAGTTAAGTAATGAGTTTTTAATGTGATAGGAACAAAGTAATAAACAAAGTATTCTTTGTAGCTGAATAATGGTTTTGGGTGATGAACCAAAAATTCAAATAATTTTTTAACTGATTAATATTAATAATATACAGTCAAAATTTAGAAATATGTTTTTATGGCCCATTTGTAGAAGCCAGCCTATGAGTTAGCCAATGCTTAAATTAGCAGATGGATCCTATCTCAATCAAGAAAAAGCATGACTTGATTCAGGGCAGAAATAACACCTTAATTTAACAAACAAAACATTAAGAAATTAATAGGCAATAAATTTTGACAATGAAAGTCACTCAATAAGAAATTTACTTCCCAAAAGAAATATATTTTTTATTAAACTTAACTTTTTCAATTAAAATTCTTTTATTGGTTTAGTTATAAAATAAACTTTAGGTACCAAACCAAGTTACCTTTGGTGAGTGGAGACCACTCATTCATTCATTTGCCTAACACACGATTAACAACTGCTCTATGCCAGACACTGTGCTAGTTTACGTAATGCCCTGTGAGAGGAAGAATTATCGCCTATTTTGTTCACAAGGAAATTAAGGCTTGTCCAATCAATGAGAAGCCAGAAGTTCAGAGATAAGATTCATACCCAAGTCCATCCAACTAACTCTATGTCCATTGCTCCCTCTGCTACACCACGGCTGCATCAAGTCCAATTTGTATCAGGAGCACTTGGCTTGCTACTGGGCCAGTTTCCTCACTGTGGACATTCTACTTGAAGTAATTTATCAATTTCTTTTTTTTACTAAGTACTTAGAAGGGTTAAAAATGATGATCCTGACATGAATTCTAATTTTAATGAATACATAGTTCAGTAATGCAGATGAGACAAGACACAAAATGATGATGCCAAGTATACAACAAGACCCTAACAAGAGGTACAAAGTGCCATGGCTCACCAGTTCTTTCATTGGTAGAAGAATAAAGGATAGCATTGACACATAAAAGAATTCAAAGTGAGCAGTCTTTTGATAGTGTACATTCCCTTGGATGGAAATACTGGCAATTAGTTTCTTATTAATTAACTACATTCTTTAAGGAACGTGATAGTGACAATTAATGCCCTATAATTGACCATCAACTAAAAAAAGTGAATGTAACAATCATTCCAATGATCCTGCTCTGTAGTTTGATAAAGGGCAGAGATCTGAAAACATTATCAACACCATGTTATTTGTGTAAATCTTTGGCATTTGCTCTTCTTATTACACGAGGCAGAAAGGATCAAGGCACTCAAAGCTTAATGAAGCAAGGATAAATACCAGTGAAAAGTTAAGGAGGTTTCTCAAAAGCCAAGTTTGCAAATACCTATTAGTTGTCCCACGAATATTAGTATGGCAAGCCTCAGTCATGCACTGGCTGACTGCGCTTCTTCTTTTCACCCTGTTCATTTTCTTGGTATAAAAAAAAAAAAAAAAAAAAAGTAAAGGAATTAACTCCACTCTATGACATTTACTGATAATCTGGGCAAGAAATATCTTTTTGTTGGCAGAGACATTCACATTAAACATGCATTAGAAAACTGTTCAACTGCATAGGGCACAGGGAAGGATAAGAGCCTCTGCACAAAATTCAGACTGCATTTTGAATCAAGCAAGACTCATCACTAGTAATTCTCTACTATACTGTAAGCTTTGCAGGGAGAACAGAGCAAAACTCATCACAATTATCACAAACTAACCATATACTTAGGTTCAAAACCTGCTAAAGTTTCTTACAAACTCAATGCTGAGAAACTCTTTCCATAAGGAAATGTGTGTTTGAAAAGTTTCATTTGCTTCAGAATTGTAAGAGAACAACTACATGTAAATTCCCAGTTTTAATTTTTTTTGTGGGGGGGTAGTGATGAAGTGGAGTGAGTAGGAGGGCAGGCTTCTCGGAACTACAAGTTAGTACTACAAGTGACTGCAAGTTTTTCCAAAGGAAAACACTGTCAAGGAAAATAAATGATTGGGAAAATACGATGGCAGATTTCAGATATAAATTTAATACATGATGATGGTAATAAGCCATCATTTTAGCCATGACTGTATGTGTTACATACATACTCTTCACATCTTTTTGTCACACCCCCACATCAGCAAACCTTATTTTACCTACAAAACACTGATGACTTCCACGTCCACCTTAATGCAACCCATCACCATCTAATTGCCTTGACTATTGCAATAGCTTTCCAAGTGGACTCTCTACCTTTCACGCCTGCCCCCGTAACCTACTCCTTTTTTTTTTTTTTTAGTTCCAGTATAGTTAACATACAGTGTTGTACTAGTTTCAGGTGTACAATATAGTGATTCACCACTTCCATACAACACCTGGTGCTCATCACAAGTACACTCCTTAGTCCCCATCACCTGTTTCGCCCCCCACCCCCACCTCACCTCTGGGAACCATCAGTTTGTTCTCTAGAGTTAGAGTCTGTTTCCTGGTTTGTCTCTTTTTTTTTTTTTCCTTTGCTCATATGTGGGATTTAAGAAACAAAACAAATGACCCATTGCCTATTCTTAACACAAGAGCCAGGGTGATCCCAAAAAACTTAAGTTCAGATAATTTCCCTCATCTTCTCCAACCTCCACAATGGCTTTCTCCCATCTCAGAGGAAAAGGCACAGTCATTACAATGGCCCTAAACAAAGTGGACCTTTGTTACTGCTCTGACCTCATCACCTCCTAGTATTTTTCCTTTTGCTCACAGGGTTCCAATCACAATGGCCCCTCTACCGTACGTTTTCCACACCAAGTACATTTGTGCTTTGGTGCCTTCTCACTTGCTTTTGCTTCTGCCTGAACATACTTGCTCCAGTTATCTGCATGACTCACAGACTCACTCCACTCTGGCCTCTGTTCAAATGTCACCTAATAAGGCAGGTCTTCACTAATCCCACATGTGTAATAGCCCACCTCCAGTCACTCTCTAAGTAGTACTTTTTTCCACATTTACAGATGAGAAACTAAAGTTCATGTAGCTAGTGAGTGATTGAACAAAATTTTAATCTCCAGATTATCTGACTTCAATGACAAAGTTCTTTCCATCCACCATGCTATCAGTTTAGAGTTGCCCAAGAGACAGAGGTATCGATATTTAATGAAATTGTGGATTCCTGGAGCCAGGAAGATACTCTAGAAATGGTTTTGTCTCTACATTAATATAAAATAAATGATTTATAAAATGAAATTTTTAATCAAAGCCTGGAAAAAATTGTGTGTTGTTACAAATTAAGAAGCCTTAGGATTTAATGAGGAGAAGTGTGAAATCATGCCTCAGCTATAGTCTTTTTCAGCAATGCTGTATAACTTCATTCCCATTTAATGTTTATGTACAGACCGAACAGTCATAGCTTTATTTTTAAATATACCTATCTCAGGTAATCAAGTCCATGGTTTAAGATTAGTCATTCAACCCCATGTCTCAGACACCTCTACCTTCGGATGAGTCCACGTGTGTGTATTACCTAAAATGCTGAAAGGTAAAAGATTCTCTTGAGAGCAAAAACTTTGAACCAAACTACATAAAGAAACAAGGATAATACTACTAAGACCATCACTGTGCAAAATCCTCATGTACTAGGAAAAATTCACCAGTGTCACTCAATGACCAGTTTGGTTTAAGTAATATCTAATACAAGAATTTGGGAAGCTTTCTGGTCTTCACTATAACAAAACTTAACCTGTCATGGATCACACTCATACATTCTTTCTTTTAATATGGATTTAATAAGATCATTCTTCTTCCCGTGATATAAGTACTCTAAAGTACAATTCAATGAAAATCTCTAATATGTGTATTTTATTCAGCTGTTTTGGTATCCTACAATTATAAACTGAGTTTGAAAATGTCAACTGTTTTCTAAAAAAAAGAAAGAGAATGCGAAATAAAGATATGTATCATATTATCTGTAAATAAAGAGAAAATAGTAGAAAAGCTCTCTATGCTTCTAACCGGGCCATGCAACATGTCAGCTGGAATAGCATAACTGGTTGAATAAGCTTCTAATACACTTCTAAGTTAACTGAAGAATAATGTAACAAAACTTCTATTAATTTACATGTTTCAAACTTCAGTACTATAGATCTCTGGGTCAGGGTTTGTCAAGTTCTTTAGTCAACTCTGTGGAATGAGGAATATACAATGAAAGCAACAATCCAAATATGATTCACAAAACGAGCCAAGTGACAGAGATTTCAGGAGTGGAGGAGGGTGTATTCTAAATACCTTCTCTTCACACACATGCGTTAATGGAATAGGAAAGTATGTAGTACTTTCATATTTAAGTGGCATATTTGTTAGATGTGCAGACTGAAGGTCCAGAAAAAATTTTTTGGAAATCACATATTCTAAGCCAATGGTCCTATGAAGATAGAGAAAGCTTTTCTGAAGAAAGGCATAGTGACACCAAAGAGCTCAGGACTGAGTGACCTTTTTGGACACCACAGACCATGACTGCAACTCGTGGGTAGATGTCTCCTGCTAAACTATGTCATCATTTCCAAAATTTTTTTCTAAATGAGATCATAATTTGTTCTTCAATATAAAGAAACAAAAGCAAATCAGATCTGGGAATGGATGCCATGGGCCAGCACAAACAAATCATGACATTCATTGTTTAATCAGTATATAGTGGACTCTAAAGAAATGTACAAAATCAAACATACCCATTCCAGTGAGGGCTGCCTTGCAAAGCAGTCACCTTGGAGGTTATCCACTGATACTGAGGAGACTGCCATTTCAAAAAGCACATTCTTCTTTGGAGACTGCCTTCAGGGGCAGTTTAGAAACTACACACACACACACACACACACACACACACACTCACACACACACACGCACAGCACTGCATTACCTCATATCAGAATTTTGTTATTATAGATCTAAAACTGAAACCAATGAAGATGACAATAAGACAGGTGCACATTTTGACAACATTGAGCAAACATCTTCTCTGATGAGTTATATGCTCCTGAAAACAAATGATGAACCTCTAAACAATAAACCAGAATGATCCTTCCCACCAAACTGGAAAAACTTACTGGTAAATGGCCAAGGAGACAAGTGATGTTTCCAGGGACAAAAATTATCACTCCGTCTGTGCTCAGTATTATCATAAAGCCATCTAATGACTAATGAAGAGAGAATAATAATGTAATTAAATAGTGGAACAATAATAAAATGATAGCTTTATTTCAAAATGCATAAATAATTATAATAGCACACTGAAAATGTATTGTGGTCCTTAAATATCAATAAAGCAGACAGAGACTTAATTAAAATTCCATTATTCTGCCTCCTACACAGAATCTACTTAACCTTAAGCATGAGATGTTTATCAAATGATGTGTCACTTAGACAAACAAATTTTAACGTATACCCAATTAACACAAAACTCTCCAACACAAGCTAAGAAGATTCATTTCTGTATGTAGGTTGTTTCACATTTAATTCAAAATTAATTTCAAAAATGCTAAGAATATTTTGCAGGGCATTTTATTTGTGGTTAGTTTAGTCATCTGCTTATAAATATGGATATTTCCATTACTTTCCTGCTATATAATGGATTTGATATCCAGACAAATGCCTCCTGGTAAAGAACCCCTAAAATGATGAATAAAGTATATAAAAACTTCTATTTCATAAAAAGACCAAGCTTATTGTAAAGTAAAGCAAACAATCTGGTATCAAAAATGACTAGAACATGGGAATTAAAAGGAAAGGGGATATTGGAGTCTGTATTTGCCTTGGAAATATCTGTACAATACTGATGGCATAGAGATTGGGGGAGAGAAAGCAAACCCAGGCTTACACAAGGTGGGAAGTGAAATCAGAGACTTCTGCATAAAACCAAGCTTCCCAAAGGGTAACACTCTTAGCAGGCAAAATAGATCTTATCCAGCAAAGGGAGACAGTGAATGCACATGCTTGCCCCAGCCTCAGCTCTGGCTAGAGAGGGAAAACTGAAACGAGTCTCTTGTTAGAAGTGCTAAACAGAAGCCCACACTCACACAGATTGGGAGCTGGAATTCACGAACTACCTGTGTAGACTTCCACAGCCCAAGCCCATTATTCAGTTTAAGGGGTTCCTGACCCCAGACAGCTAGTAAAAAGAAACTGAAATCATCCCTAGAGAATCATTCTAAAACCAGGGCTCAAGGAATTCATGTGGATAAAGCTCCAAATAACATGAGCTTATAATAAGATATTAATAACACCAGGAAGAAATGAAACATCATGAACAAGGGGCAGTACAAATAATAAAATGCAGAATCAGATTCAAAAACAGTACATACTGGAATTATTGAAGATAAAATATAAAATAAGTTTCCTTAAAGGGCTTAAATAAATAACATCGGGTATTGAAAATACGATGAAGGAACAAGAGACTCAGAACTGACCAGGCAGATGTGAAAAAGAAACACAATTTCTAGAAATGATATTATCGTCAAAAAATAAAAACTCACTGTACAGTTAAATAGCATGCTGGAACACAGCTGGAAAGAAAACAGAGCTGAAGAAATGACTCAGATCTCAACACAGAGAGACACAGGAATAGAAAATATGGGAAACAACGACATGGAGAAGGGAGCGAGGAAGTGTGTTAGATATTTCACACCTATCCACTTTACTCTCACAACTCAGTGAAAGAGATTTTTTAATACCCATTTTACAGAGAAAGAAATCAAGGCTCAGGGACAATAACTCTCTCAAGGACACAGAGCAAGTAAATGACAAAGGCACAAATCATAGCCCTGTCTGACTCAAAAGACCATGGTCATTCAGGCTTTAGCTTTTGGCCTTTGAACTTAGTGAAACTAAGCAGTTTCCTTGGAGCTAGAAACCATAAACACCTCATGTCCTTGAGGGGAAAAAGTAAGACTTGAAGGCCTGTTTTTTAGAGGCTAACAATCTATGTTGAAGGGTCTACCAGATATTATTTAATTTGCCACGAATAAAGACTTGTTCGTATTTGTTGTCACTCAAGATGAGTGGTTTCCAAAACTCAGTTATAAGAAGCATCTGGAGAGCCTGTTAGAAATGCAGGCTCCTGGCCCTACCAGAATTGAGACTCTGATTCAGACAGTTTAAGGTGGGTCCCAGGAATCTGTATTTTTACCAAGCTCCCTGGGTAATCCTGAGATGCATGGTCTCTTAGTCACACTGTGAAAAACACTATTCTTTATCTTCTATTGGACATGTTCTAACATATGAAGTAAGCCAAGAACAAACCCCCTCTTACTTGTAGTGTCTTGCACTTGAAGTCTTCATAGCTATGAAACGATGGAATCCAATTAGATTGCTCTCTGGAGGTTTCTGGATTGACTTTGCCTTTTTAGAAAAACAAAGAAAGGATAGAAAACTGTCACATTAAAATGATTAGCTATGGGTATTAGATTTTTCAAAGTTATAATTAATTTTATAGAAAAGACTCTCATGAGAAAATGCTGAGTGCTAATGAAGGAGCTGATGTAGACTAACTAATTGCTTGTAAATTATCATAAACAGAGAAGTGTTTCAAATTGAAAAAGACCTTGAAGATCATCCAATTCCATTTGCACTGTACACACCTCGCCAAAAACTTTATGATTTTCAACCTCCAGTTCTTTCCTTTTCTTGACTTCTTTAAGTCTTCTGCATTCCACCTAAACCCAGTAATCATAATATGCCAGCGAAGGTATGGCTGTGTCAAGGCCTCTAGGCAGATCCAGACACCTAACTAGAATATCTTTAAGCCCTATCTCCTATCTCTTCAAAGCTGTTAATAAAGTTGTATCTCCCAACCATCCTTCTTCATTCTTCAAGGTTTTCCAGTTTTCCCAATGAACACTGTTTCTGATGCTGTGCTCACTCAGAGCCTTTGCTATCAACACCTGTCCCCACCACCTGCCCCAATCCCACCTATAGTCCACTAACTTCACTAATACAGGGATTTCCCTAACACAGCCCTCCAATCTCCAGTTATTTTAATGCATGTCAATAACTGTTAGTTTCTTCTCCTCACAGAACAGTTAGAGAGCCATGGCATACAACTTTGATCCCTTTTAAAAATGTTAAATGCCCTGACAAGGATAATTCTGATAACAGAGCTTGTTTTCTCAGTGGGTATGAGTCTCAGATCCTTTCCTATCAGTAGATTTGGATAATAAGGAGGCCAAGCATGAGCAGAAAAGCATCAGAGCCCTCACTAAAGAGGGAATGAAAAGAGGGTGTATAACTGCCTGGGAAATGACAGAATATAAAAATAAACCACACCAATTGCATAAATGCCTCATGATCAGTGTTTCTGACTACTGTCCCAGCCGGGAAACTCAATTCTGGTCACAGCTCCTCAAGATCAAGAAAAAACCCATGACACTCTCTCATAGCTGATTGCTGAAGTCATTTCCCCACTGACTTTCAGCTCTACCTAGTGATTTTCATCTCCTACACTCCCTCCAAAGAAATAAGTAAGACTGAAGAGAGTCTACATATTTCCAAGAAAATAAGACCAATGTATTTTATCAATCAACCATAAAGGGCTTTTTACATTACTATTATCCATAAATTTATTCTTGTTTTGCTTGTAGGATGGGCACCATATCCAATTCTTTGCTAAAACCCCAGTATCTAGCATAGTACTTAACTCATAATAGGGACTTGATAATTCTTATTAAACTAAACCTCATTCATTCATTTATTTAACTAATATTTTTTAAAGATTTATTTATTTGAGAGAGCACGAGTGGAGGGCAGACGGAGAGGGAGAAAGAAACTCAAGCAGACGCTGCGCTGAGCATGGAGCCCGACACAGGGCTCGATCTCACGACCCTGAGATCTACAACGTGAGCTAAAACCAAGAGTCAGATGCTTAACCAACTGCACAACCCAGGTGCCCCATTATTTAACTAACATTTACTGAGCTCCAACTACGTATCCTGTTCTGTTCTACAGGCTCAGAATATAGTACAAACAAGACAAGTGACGTGACTGTCCTTCTGTATCTTACAGAACAGTGAGAGGGGTAGACAGACAACACACACATGGACAGGAATGACAGGAAGACAGCCACAGGAAAACCTGGGGGCAAAGCATCTTGAGCAGAGGAAGGAGTAAGTACAAAAGAAGCAGAAAAGAATGTGGCCTATTTAAATTACAAACGAGAGGCCAGAGTGGCTACAGTAGGATGACCAAGGGATAGAGTAGTAGGAAATGAAGTTTGAGAGACAGGCAGGGTCAGATCATGTAGGGTATATGTTAAGGAGTTGACATTATTCTAAGTGGAATATGAGATACTTTTAAACAGGAGAGTGATATGTGTTTTGAGGGGAGAGGCATAGGGAAAGGGAGAGAGAGAACCTTAAGCAGGCTCCACACCCAGTGCAGAGCTCGACCTCACAACCCTGAGATCATGACCTGAGCCGAAATCAAGAGTTGGATGCTTAACCAACTGAACCACCCAGGTGCCCTTAGTGACATGTTTTTAAAAGACCACTATGGGGGCACACTATGGATGGCTCAGTTGGTTAAAGGGTCTGCCTTGGGCTCAGGTCACGATCCCAGGGTCCTGGGATCGAGGCCCATGTCGGGCTCCCCGCTCAGCAGAGAGCCTGCTTCTCCCTC